TAATCCATGGCATTAAACTTCCAGTCAAAGTTTGCACATATATTAATAAATTATTATTAAGACAAAGGACTTTTCTTCTATTGACAATTAGTTTCTTTTTCTCTTTTTTTGGAGAAATCAACACTACTTTTTTAAAATTCAATTCCCTTACCTATTCCATTCTATTTTGAGAAAATCATACAATAATACCACTTAAATTTTAAAATTTTAAATTAATTTTATTTTCTATACTTTAATAGCTATTAATTACACTTGATTAAAAAAATAATACTCTTTCAGTCCTTAATATAAGACCTATTTAACTAATTTGATTAGATTAAGAAAGTTAGGTAAGTTAGTTAATTATAAAAAATGTGACATGTTTTTCTTAAAACACCATAATCATATTTCTTAATAACCCTTTTTTCTCTTCTACTTGATTATGGTTGATGGAATATCTATAAAAATAATTTTAAAAAAAATTAATAAATATGAAAAATGTATCTTATATCTAAAACTAAAACTAATTTAATAATTGAATCATGTATTAAGAATAGAAGGAATAACACGTTTTTATAAAATGTTTTGATTTGAGATTTTAAAATTTAAATATTAGGTTTTCACAAACATCCTGTCATATCTGACACCACTACCAGTCCCTTTGGTGCCATGGCACTTGTCGGATCTTAAAATGCCGAGTCTCATTTTTTGAGGTTAAAAATCCTACTTGGCTCGATTCTCTAGCATCTTGGATGTCTCCTTCTCAAAGTGGCTCTGTGAGTTGATCCGACGGCTCAATCTGTCAGAAAATAGTGAGTGGGAGTTTTCATTTTTCAATTCTCTAGCATCTTGCCAACCGTTTTTTTTTTTTTTTTTCAATTTTTATTTAAATTTTAATTTAAAAAGAAATTGATCATTTTTACTCAAGTTAAGTGTAGCTTTGTATTTTGCTAGAAACTTTGATTTTAAGTTTGAATTTTCATTTTTTTATTGTTTTATAACTTTTATATTAAAAAATAACTATTAAAAAATATTATATTTTTTATTTTTAACTTTTGAGGTTAATTTAATTATATAAATGTATGAAAATATAAAAATAACTAGAATTTAGTCTATAAAAATTTATAATTTAATTTTAAAATTTAAAAATAAATATGCAAAAATATTTTTAAAAAATATGGTTTGATTTGTGTTGGCTGAATTGTAGCATGTCGGGAGGCCAATCTTTTCAGCCCGACGCATATAAGCTGTGAGCCTATAACTCATGAGCAGCTAGCCCGTAACTAGTGAGCCAGCTTGTATTGGGAGTTTTATCTCCTTCTATTGCGTTGGAATGTGCATGGCTACCTTGGAAGGGTGAGGGGGCTTCCTCCTCCTCCTCTTCTTTTATAGGTCATATTCATCATTTATTTTGGCCTTACATGATGGTTTTCAACAGTCCAGATGCAGTTACCATTGAAACTTTGAACCGTCAATACTTGACTTTTTTAACGGTTAAATAGGGGTCACAGTTTCAAAATGTTATTTGCGACTGACCCAAAAATTTAGGAAATTTTTTTTATGTTTTAGCTTAAATTTTTAATTCACTTCATATGCCACATAATTCTTATTAATTAATTTGACATGGTAATTTGTTAGTAAATATTAATAACAAAAGTAACAATTAATATGATTTTTAGTGTAAAAAAAACTAAAATTTTAAGGAGGTTACACACAAGTATACAGCCTATACTTTTACTTATATATGAGGACTTTGTATATTTTAACAACATTTTTATATTATATATAGATTGGGATGACATGTGGGGAATTTTTTATTTTTTCAAATATGAAGTGTTAGTTAAAGTTTCATTTATATGTTTCCTAAATAATTTTTCTCTAAAATAATTTTATAACCTAAAAATCACTCAATAATGAAGGGAGAATGATACTGAGACTTTTCAAGGGAATTAATTATAATTAAGGATATGAATTTGGAAACAACAGAATTTGAGTTAGAAGTAGCGGAATTTTAGTTGAAAATCTCAATAGTTCAGTTGGGAACTGCTCTTAATGGTAATTAATTTATAACTCTAAAAAAAGTAAGTAGTACACGAAAATGAAACCACATATCCATTGTATTAATCTTGATAAAAATGATAAAATATGCAAAATTTTATATTTCTATATATTTTTATATGTGATTATATTGACAATTTGAATAAAAAAATTAGGAAATTCAGCAGATTTTACGAGAAAATCAATGAATATAAATGATACTCTCTCTCTCTCCTTTGTTATAATAAAAAATTACCACTTCTACCTTGTCCCTATCCATAAAAAATTGCAAGATGTCTAAATTTTTTGTTGACTAGTTTTTTTTATCAAGTACTCATTTTAATACTTAATATATTTATTAACTCATTTCTGAAATCGTCATTTAATACTTAGTATACTTAATATATCTCTACACATCATATATTCTCTCTCTTTCATAATTCTCTTTTATTTAAATAATTTTCTTAAGAGTATTTTCTCTCTTGTGCTCTCTTTCTCTAATAAATAACAGTATTTTTTATTTTAAAAAACCTATAATTTTTGTGTATTTATTATCTTTGTCTAATTTTAACTAACCTTTTAATCTAGGTGATTTAATCAAATATGTTTTGTGAAAAAAAACGAAGGGAATATAAACATGTGTGTGTGTTGGTTAGTTTTACGTTTATCACATTGAGTGCGTAGGCCGAAAGTCCCCACCTAAATGTCTTTCTAAACAAGCGTACGTAAGCGTTGGGGTTTTCTACCGAAATCTTCCCAAACGTAGTTGTCTGCCACATCAAGGTGCAAAAGTTTCGTGGCAGCTTTTCAATGGCTTGGCAGGCCATATGAAAAAAATGTCACAAATCAGAGACTATAACGTTCTAAATGTTGAATTTAGTGCATTAATTATTTCAATTGCTTTCGTTTTCAAAGTCCTGATTCATTACGTCTCTAAAATTAAAATATTCAGAATAATTATGTGAATAATTAATTAAATCAAATCAATAGTACCTCAATAGTCCGCATTAGAGAAGGAAATTAAAGAAACATCTTAGGTTAACCTGCTTCGGCCAATCAGAATATTAATTTCGATATCACCTAAAAAAACAAGAATAATCATTTTGAAAAAAACTTGAAGTTGTTCTGAAAACTATACGTCATGTAACTCTAAGTAGCTTCATTTACTGCCACTATTTTCTCCTATAGTTTTTTTATTCTTTCTATTTTTCTCTCTATTCAAAATAGGATAATTGTGACGATCATTGTAATGATAATTCAAAAGACAAAGGTAATTTTTATATTTTAATCATATTTTCAAGCCTAACCATTAAGCTATAAAGTCTCTGAGCACGGCTCCCTTACCTGATTATCATCATCAGTTGAAAGTTTCTTCAAGTCACTTCATATGTTCTCCCTAATCTGCCAGTTAAGCCGCTTACTTCAAATCTCTCAATTTCACATTTTCCTTCACGTTTCTGTTTCTCAATTTCTTGTTTGACTTCATGGCCAAAAAAGATGTACTCCTCATAGTCTTAATATAAGACCTAATTATTGAGTTAATCTTGATCCTAAACGTAAGGCTTATTGCTCATATTTATTATTTTTTTCATAAATTGATAATCTTTTAACCATAATTAAGTAGGTGAGGGAATGAGAATATTAAAGACGATAATTATAGTATTTTAGGAAAAACATATCATATTTCTTATAATTAACTAACTTACCTAACTTCCTTAATCTAATCAAATTAGTTAAATAGATCTTAATATCCTTTGACTTTTCAAAATTAAACTAGCATGGTGACTTTCGTGAAATTTCATGTTACGGGCTTATTTAAACATGCGAATTTTATAAAGTTAAGTGACATTTGCTATTCACAGATGAAAGTAATAGCCCATTAATTACATTAGGAGTCCATTTATTTTATATTGTGAGAATTATTTTTAATTTTTTTGTTCTCACCAAGATCTGCTATCGAAAAAAGGGTGCATATTAGTTTTCTTGAAGTAAGTTTCATCTTTGTCTTTTAATTTCCTTTTTCAAGTTTGGTCAATATTTTTATTTTTAATATGCACTAAAAAAACTTCTTATTTAATTTTTGTTGCTAAAAAGGTAAAAACTGATTATTCCCATAATCAAAATAGATATCAATAGCATTGTTATGAATTAATCACACTAATACTTAAAATAATTTTCGAGGCTTGAAATAAATTATGATTACTGCCTTAAAACTATAAAAATTTAAAGATGCTAAATATGATAATCTTAATATAATTTATTCTTAAATAATTCAATAAACATTTAAAATCACATCCTTAAAAGAATACTTTTTGCTTATTATTTTAAGTGAAGTGGACAGGTTAGAAATCTAACATTGTTTATAAATATAGGAACAAATATTAAAAACAAATACTTAGTTCACCTTATAATTAAAATAACTTTATCCTCTTAAAATATATATTTACAACACAACAATAAAACTTAATTATTTCGAGCTTGTTAAAACAAACTTTTTTATTTTAAATGTTTTATCTTCAAAATAATAGAGCTTATTTATGTTAAGGCTACAAATTAGTTGATATGCTTTTAAGGAAGTGCTTATTTATTTTAAGCCTTAAAAATATTTTAATTATGATTATTTAATAATTAATGGCATTAGAGTATACATGTTATTTTTAAAAAAAAAATTGTTTAATGAAGTTAACAAAGCCTTGACCATCATGTCGAAGTTAAAAAGGGTAACACGAAATACAATAAATTTAAAAGATCGAGAATAAAAAAGTGCGTCACACAACACAGGTAGAGATAAAACTATACAAATATTAAAAAAAAATACTTCTACACAAGATTAGAAAAAAATTTTCTCATATATTTATTTTAAACTTCATAAATTACTTTTAAAAAGCTATTCCAAACTTCCCGTTGTCAAAATACGCCTCAACTTTCCCCTATAAATTCTGATTGCTGCGAGGTGACAATAACACAAAAATTATTATTCAACCATGGCTTTCGATTCTAAAGATCAGAATCGTCTAAACGAAGAAGAAGATTCCTACGGTCTTTCTGCCATGCTTCAGTGTTGTAGCCAGACCTACTGTGCAGTTCTTAAAGCGTCCATTGAGCTCAACTTGTTTGAGATCATAGCTAAGGAAGGAGGACGATATGTGTCAGCCTCTGAAGTAGCTTCAAAGCTTCCAAGTTCATCTCAGCACAAAGATTTAGCTTTCAGAATCGATCGTCTCTTGAGGCTTCTTGCAAGTCACTCTCTTCTGAACTGTTCGTTTCGTGAGAAGGAAGATGGAGGCACTGAGAGGCTCTATGCCATTTCTCCTGTGGGAAAGTACTTCGTCGGTGGGGACGATAATGGCGGGTTCTTGGCTCTCTTCTCATCATTCATATGTCATAGGGCCCTCCTGGATGCCTGGTAAAGTTATATATAATTTATATTTAATACACTCCTGCCTCTTAATGTATAACCTAATTAGGCGGTTTATCTTGGTTCTATATTTAAAACCTATTTCACATGTTATCAATTTTTTTCTTCAAATTAACTCTATTAATATTCCCCAAATAATAATCAAATAGAAGAAGAAATGAGGAATAAAGGAAAATGCTGAGGGTGTTTTGAAAAGAAAAACATATCATATTAATAATATTCCTAATCTACTCAAATTAGTTAATTAAGAACTGGAGGAGTATGATTTTGTGCAAAGTATGGGATTCATATATATTGTTATATAGACAAGACCAATAACAAGCCTTATTCCCACTCAGTGACCTGGGATAATCAATTATATTAATTGCATAATGTTATTGTGTGTTTTATCAATAACTAAATCTTTAAATATATTGTTAACTGAAATGTTCTGTTAAACAACTTTGTTAAGCATTTTCTTCCGTCTTCCTATCTCAATTTCATTTTCAAAAGACTTTGTTGTTACCTTCTTCATATGTGTGTCTTTACCATTTCAAATATTTTTTTTTTTATCATTTTCTCTTTAACAGATGACACGTCAATTACATTGTTTTTCATATATGTCCGTCATGAATATTGTGTTTTCTTATATGACAGTACGTTGATCTCAGTTTTCTCATATTTGCCACTCCAATTTTATACTATTATTGTTGTCACGTTAAAACTTAACATTCATTGCCATTTAACATTGTTCGTTTTATAGCAGTTTGATAAAACATATTGTCATATATATACACACACAATATTAATTGTTTCAATATGTGTTTAATGGATAGGATGAATTTTAAGGTTGCCATAATAGAAGAAGACAATGACTTATTCAAGAAAGTTCATGGAATGCCAATGTACCAATATGCAGAGATAGATCCAGCATGGAACAACATTTTCAACAAAGCAATGGCTAACCGCTGCAACGTAGAGATGAGAAGAATATTAGAAATATACAAAGGATTTGAAGGAACATCAACACTTGTTGACGTTGGAGGTGGCACTGGCCAAAACCTCAAAATGATTGTCTCCAAGTACCCTTCAATTAAGGGCATCAATTTTGATTTGCCCAATGTTGTTCAAAACGCACCACCTCATCCGGGTACACCAACTTCATTATCTCTAGTACTTTTGTGATGGTTTTAACGTGTCAAAATCTATTAACATTACCTATTTGTTATTTTGAAATATAACTGGATTTTTTAAAAACATTTTTCCCATATGCAGATAAATAATGAAAAAGCTTAATAGTGTCGTATACGAGAGTTTTTTGCATAATGAGTGTAAAAGTTTAGGAAAGTTTACAGTGAAGAGCTTTAGAAATTAGGGAGATCATCTATAAATGATATAAAATTAAAGGGGCTGTTGTATAATTTAGGTGATTATTTTTTTGTTTATCAGTTCAAATTATTAGAATTATGATTTGAGCTTCAAATTTTATGAAGGAATGGAGCATGTTGGAGGGGATATGTTTGAGAGTGTTCCGAAAGGTGATGTCATTATGTTGAAGGTTAGTGCGAAATTTTCTCATCTTAGTTTCAACTTCTTAATTATTATTCTTTCAGTCTTAAATATAAGAGTCTTATACACATTACAAAAAAAGTCTTATATTTAGAACCAGAGGAGTAATTTCGCGAATACTAAAGATGCATTCTTTATAATTTATAAAAATAATGAAAGGATATGTTATAATATTACGTACAATGTTGTGCATGCTCAGTTTCGTGGTTGAAAGCATATATATAACAAGAAGTATAAAACTTGAACAAGATAAAATTCAGCAGAATAGGTAGTACTAGTCCTATAAAGTCACCCAATGCCTCTTTTACATGTATACGTATGTTGGTTAGGTTAGGTTAGGTTAGGTGGTGAGATGTCAATAACAATTTTTCAAATCCATATCAACCCTTCAAGTGTGTGTGTGTGTGTCATGACTTCTTTAGACATGCATGTATTTTAAAATTATATGCACATAATATGGCACACACACACACACATTCATGTATAGTATGGATAATATCATTGGACACCTAGTTGATTGATTTGAAAAAATTAAAAAAGCTAAATAAATTATTTAATTATAACATGTGTTACATGATTTCTTTGAAATACTTAAGTGTATGATTAGATTATATATTAGTTTATGAGTCAAGCAAATTAGTTAGGAGAAACACAATAAATATAAATAATTTAAAGTAATTTATTCAATTAGTTTTCTTAATCTCTCCAAATCAGTCAAGTGGATGATATATTAAGGATAAGAGATAGTATATTATCTCATATCAATGAAAATAGTAACATATTAGTAAGATAGATTAATGTTTTTATGTTGTAGGCCGTATGCCACAATTGGTCAGATGAGAATAGCATAAAATTGTTGAGGAAGTGCCATGAAGCATTGAGAGATAAAGGGAAGGTGGTAGTGATTGAGTACATAATGCCTGAAGTAATTGACGCAACCGAAGAAGCCAAGTTCGTAGCAAGCTTGGACAACATCATGTTCCTTCATGATGGAAGAGAAAGAACTGAGAAGGAATTTCAATATCTTTGCAAATGTTCTGGCTTTTCTGCTTTCAAACTCGCTCTCGCTTCTCGTGCTTTCTCCGCTTTAGGAGTTATGGAATTCTACAAGTAATGAAGATTGGTCTTATACATATACATATGAAGAAGAAAATGAGAGAAAATCACTTTGAGATCGCAAGCAAATAATGTAATCACCAAATAAGTGAGGAGTATGAACTTGTTTATATTTCCTGCATTGAAATTTACTATTGCATATGTTACTTATTTGTTGTTATGAAATATTTTAATGATTACAATTCATCTTTGGGGCCCCATACTGATTCTCCCAAAGAATAAAGTATTTTATCTTGGATTTTTTAAATAAATTTAAATGTTCGTTATTAAGAACTCCTGGGGGGGGGGATTATTGAACTCAAAGATGATGGGAATTATGCCATCTCATTCTAATCAACTAAGATAATAAATTTCTTAGGCAATTTGTCAATGCCTTCTTTCAAAATCATGCCTTTTTATATTTGTGAATCTCAATGGTAGAATATATGGTAATGTTGGAATAAAATGATATTTCGTTTTTTCAATAATTTTCAGCTAAAACAAAACCTTTTTTTTTTTAACTGAAACACTAAAAGGAGGACTTGAACCTCTCTGACCTTATAGTTAAGAGCCACACTCTAACCAACTGAGCTATTCCAGCACACATTCTAGTGTGTGCTATTTCTGATAATTACACATGTTAAATGATTTCTATCAAAATAGTAGCTCTTATATATATGATTAATACCGATATTTTAAAAAAATAACACTTATTTATTACATGTAATTAATTTAACTAATTTTTTAATATCTAAAAATTAGTTATCTAGCTCTTGTATTAAAGTTTGGGATAATATGCATTTGGATAATAATTTAAAGCCCAAAAACCCAATTTTGCAAATCTATTCATTACAAACCTTGTTAAAACTGAGTTCTAGTTTTCTGGCGCCATTTTCTGCAAAGTATCTAAACATGTACAAAGTCGCACAACATTAGCAAAAGTCAAGGGATGAAAAAGAAACAAACGAGGAAATTTACCACATGACCTAGTTTTCCTGGCTGTCAAATTCTATAAAGAGATTGATTATATGTTTGGAAGTGTTCGGAAAGGTATGACATATTACTATCCCTATGTTTAGTAGGAGGAAAATAGAAGGAAGAAAGAAGAGAGAGAAAATTTTAATGAACTTAATTTAAAAATTAAAAAAAATGGAGTTTTAAAATTTTAATAAAAAAAGATGTAAGATAAAAGAGGAATTAAATTAATAATTAAAAAATTTTAATCCCATTTTTTTAAATTTTTTTTAAATCTAGCTTATTAAAATTTTTACTCCCCTTCTCTCAACTCTATTTCCCTCTTAGCAAAAGGATACTTAAAGGTTAACATGAGCCTTTAATTTGTTGTCTCATTAAATAATTAGTTAGTTACAACTTCAAATCAGACATGCACCATGATTTGGGTGGGTGTGTGTATTTATCTAATTAAGTTAGGTTTAGGTGCAACTAATATATATCAATCTTCACTTACCACACTTTGTAGGCTACATGTCACAATTGGTCTAACGAAAATAGCATTAAAGTATTGGGCAAATGCCAGAAAAAAGGAAGTGATATTGGTGATATATAAGATTTACAAATTACAAGATCTTATATTAAAGACTGGAAATAGTAGTCAACTTAATATGATATTTCTTTTATTATTATAAAACACTTCCAACCATCTTATTATAAGTCATTAAATTTGTTTGAAAATACAAAAAATTCAAATTTACTCATATTCAAAATTATTACATAAAATTTGAGTATAGGAAACATTAAAAAAATTTAATTAATATTTTGTCTAGGGACTTCTAGGAAAGGCCACTCAATGATATGTTTTAGCTGTTAGTGAATGCAAGTACAAAAAATATGGATTTGGTGTGAAATGTCTATCGTCTAAATATATTTAACTTCAGTTTAGAGTTAACATTTTTAATTTATGATTTTTAAATAAAAATCATTTATGACTAAATCATAAGTAGAAGAAGATTTTTATTTTAATTAAGATTTTCACCTATTAATTAAGATATTAAACTATTAAAAATATAAATATTATATTATATTAAATTTGGGCCATCCAATTTCAATTTGGACGGAAAAAGACTAAATCCAAAACAAATATATATAGCCATGCTAATTACTAATTCAGTTTGTGTGCTTTATTATATGTGTTTGACAGCTCTAACCACAAAATTAAAAGAAGCAAGAAGAGTGAGAGAAAACTGAGACAAAACTCATTTTACATGCTTATATTGTACATCATAAAAATATTTTTGAAAAGCTAATGCCTAATCCAAACATCCTCAAAAAAGTTTTATCTTGAATTACATGAAAGTACCTCTAAAAAATTGAAACAAACACCCATTTTGTTGGATTCCGATGACGTTTTCAGAGATTGTAGAGCTTGTTTAGAAGAGTGATTGAAGTTTTTAAAAGTAGTATTTCAATCATAATTTATTAATATGAGATAAGTATATGAAAAAGTTTGCAGATGATGAAATCGAATGTACGGGAAAATATAATGAGAGAGAATATGGCAAATGATAGAAAATGACAAATCAAGGGCAATATTAGAAAAATGTATTAAATTCTAAGACAAATTTGAATTGAAGATTATAAAATGAATCACAACTCTCTTCAAATTTGAAGCTTATGAATAGAACGGAAGAGAATAAAAACTAAAAGAATATATGAAAGGAAAATTAAATTCACAATTCATTCAAATTGGAATCACTTAAATAAGTACTTATAAATATGTTTGATATACGCTAAGGCAAAATTCCTCTCATATATTTACCTCATATTCTATAAATTAAAGTAACTTATAAATCATTCCAACACAGTGAAGATTTTAGTGCTCATCACAATGATAATTGATGAGTATTCACTATGGTAAAAGGAAAATCACTACAATATAAGTAGTCCAAACATAATTTCAGTAATCTAGCTAGTTTTAAAAATGTAACTGATCATTTTTAAATAAAAATCATTTTTGATAGAAGGATTATTAAAATAGAAAAATAGTTACGTCAAGTTTCTTATATTCATCAAATAAATTCTTCAACTACACATAATCACGTGTCTTATTTTTTATGTGAATATATAATTAAATTCTATTAAATGCTAATATTTAGAATAGAGGACACATGGCCATATGTGATGACCATTAAAATATTATTTTTATTTTAAATTCTGCCTCTATTAAATTAAAATATTATACAATTAAAATATAAATATAAAACTATATTAAATTTAGACAATTTAGGGGGCATTTGGATTCATACAAAAGTGCTTTCAAAAGCACTTTTCTACAATTGAAACAAATTTCTCCACATATTTACTTTGTATATGGTAAAATTACTTCTAAAATTATGGTTTGGTTTCCATCCAAATATCCCCTTAATTTTGATTTGGACGTTTAAGATTTATTTGATGGGAAAAACTGGATCCAAAACAAATACACTCACACTGATTACACATCATAAAATGTAGCATCCGTATATTTATTTTAACAAAAATTTTAGGTATGAATTCAGGCTCAATCCCAACCAAAATAAAGTTCTTGAACTCTCCTCCCACATGATATTATATTGGGAAGGGCTATAGCATCCGTGTTTAACAAGGGGTTAAATGGCATTTTTGCCCAAGTTTTTCGCAAAAGAGCTATGGGAATACTAAATTTTTTTCTTTTTGGAGCAATGTCATGCGGGAAGTAGTTAAGTAGTAAAATTGTAGCAATGTCACCCAAATTTAACAACCCTAACCGTCAAATGTTAGTTTGACCCACTTTTGCTAAGCCAGTTCTGCCATGCAGGATAGTATGACACATATTATTCCAGATACTTTGCCACATCATCATCATCTTTCTTGAAACACACCGCCAACATGATCATTATCCTCGTCAGACTTAGTAATTCCCTATATCCAGTCTATGAACTTCTTTAAAGGTGTGCTCAGACAACCAAGAGTTTGTTAATGAAGCATAATACCCAGATCAAAACTCTAGTCCATCAAGTTCTAAGCATTCTTCCCTCCTCGTTCTGAATCTCTGAATTATGTTGTTGTAAAAGAAACAAAAATCGTTTATCTGAAAAAAAGATGATAGTTCAAGTTGTTTTTCACCTGAAGCATCTAAATGTGGTAATAAACTTATTCAACAGAAAGATAAATGGATCAGGTAGAGCAGAACAGGGAAAAATAAGAGAATGCTGTTAAAACTATTAAATAGTTGGCTATGGAAAATGACACATGTTAAATTCATAATCATCTCCAAGGTCGGTGATTCTGGGTTTCTTTTTCTTTTTTGGGTTTGGTAAAGGTGGTGATGATGATTTTGATCTGCTTCATCCCTTGAAATCAACACAATCCTTTCAATTACTAAGAAAAAATACCCAAAAGTGGCAAGCACTAGACCCAGATCAACAATGAACCATCAGTATCGGAGCAAGTTCCCTTTCCATTGAGACTGAATCACCAAGGTCAGACCCAATCATAGCGAGCGATAAACCCAGAGCCACGCAAATCTACCATCGTTTCTAAGGTCATCTCCATAATACCCAAGATCTGGTCTTCAACTTTGACACAGGACCAATGAGGATGTCGAAGAGCATAGTCCTAAGAGCTCAATCGGAGCGGGACTGATGCGGCGCATAGAGGACATCAAAATTCTTTGCCACGGAATCTAAATCCCTCTTGATTTCCTAACTCTCCCCCCTTCTTTGATTTTGTCGTCTTCTACTTCTCTCTGTGATTCTATCTTCGTTAAACCCCAGGTGACCGGAGTTGATGGTGCGAGTGAGGCAGAGGCAGTTTCCGATAATGCAGACGGAGGAGCTAAGGCAGACAGGATGACACTGTACATCTTGAGACAGTTGAAGGGTTTTTTCAGATGATGAGGTAGCAATGAGATGGTTTATTAAATGTCACATCACCTGCTAATGTGGCATTTTAGAGTCGAACTTCCTCAGTTAACGGTTAACATTAGGATTCCGTCTAAATAGGTTGACATTGTTACAATTTTATCACTTGCTTGATGATATTGCTCCAAAAAAAACTTCTAAATACTATAGTTTTTTTTTTTGTGAAAACTTTGCAGACAAAAATGACTTTTAACGCTTTAACAAGTGATGATGCCGGCTCAATTCATGGTCATTAACCTAGGCAGTTCAATTTGATATTATTTTATTTTAGATTTTTTAATAACATTTTGTTTTAACATATGCAATATAAAATATAAGAAAATCATTTA